ATGTTGGAAGACCCAGCCATGACCCATCTTCAATGCTCTGACTGAGGGAAGGAGGTTGTTGCTCAAAATCTCACAATAAATGGCCCCATTCATCCTCTCCTTAATACAGTGCAGTCGTCCTGTCCCCTTCGCAGAAAAGCACCCCCAAAGCATGATGTTACCACCCCCATGCTTCACAGTAGGGATGGTGTTCTTGGAATGCAACTCATCCTTCTTTTTCTTCCAAACACGACGAGTGAAGTTTAGACCAAAAAGTTCTACTTTGGTCTCATCTGACCACATGACTTTCTCCCGTGCCTCCTCTGGATCATCCAGATGGTCATTGGCAAACTTCAGACAGGCCTGGACATGTGATGACTTGAGCAGGGGAACCTTCCTTGCAATGCATGATTTGAAACCATGACGGCGTAGTGTTCTGCCAACAGTGACCTTTGAAACTGTGGTCCCAGCTCTCTTCATGTCATTGACCAGCTCCTCCCTTGTAGTTCTGGGCTGATTCCTCACCTTTCTTATCATCAGGTGAGAGGTGAGATCTTGCATGGAGCCCCAGTCCGAGGGAGACTGATAGTCATCTTTAGCCTCTTCCATTTTCTAACAATTGATCCAACAGTTGATCTATTTTCACCAAGCTGCTTGGCAATTGCCCCGTAGCCCTTTCCAGCCTTGTGGCAGTCCACAATTTTGTCTCTGGTGTCTTTTGACAGCTCTTTGGTCTTACCCATGGTAGTAGTTGGCGTCTGACTGACTGTGGGGTGAACAGGTGTCTTTAAAGAGCTCAGACAGGTGCTACTAAGTTAGATTAATGAGTGGAGTAGAGGTGGACTTTTTAAAGGCACAGAAACAGATCTTTGAGAGCCGAATTCTTGCTGTTTCTTAGGTGTTCAAATACTTATGTTCAGCAGTGCAAGACAAATAAATTCTTTAAAAAACCTACAATGTGATTTCCTGAATTTTTTTTTTAACTCTGTCTCTCAGAGTGGGAATGCACCTACAATGTGTATTTCAGACCCCTCCATGATTTCTAAGTGGGAGAACTTGCAAAATCGCAGGGTGTTCAAATACTTCTGTTCCTCACTGTATAAACACACACACACACACATACAGTGCTCAGCATAAATGAGTACACCCCAACAGATTTCTCAGAAAACCTTTCCTTTACTTTCAAAATCAACATTTTCTATGGAGCACTATACTACAAAATTCTCCCACAAATTGATTGCAAACAAGATTTGTTAATTTGCACACACAAAAAAGTATTTTTCCTAACAAATTCATTCAAGACCATGTTGCAAAAATAAATACACCCCAATGAAAGTCTTAGGAGCAAAGCAAAATTTTAGACAAAAAATCCTAATTAACAAGAATTCAACTACAGGTGAGTCTAATTATTCATTGAACAGATGTCCAGCAGACAGCTGATTATAAATGGGCGTTACTTAACAAAGAAGACCCCTCCCATTTCATGCTGTCAGCAATGGCACCACATGAAAGAGAAATGTCACAAGGCCTGAGAAAGAAAATAATTTCCTTCCACAAGAAAGGTAAAAGCTACAAGAACATCAGCAAAGCTTTACTTATCAGGCAGAAAACTGTAGCAAAAGTGACACAGAAATTTAACAAAGATGGAACTGTAACCATCACTGAGATGTCCAGGACATGACATCCATGACAGGATCTCCATGACAGGAGCATCTTCTGATGAGAAGGGTTGAAGAAAATCACCATGCAAGTTCATTGCAGTTAGCTAAAGTAGAAAGCCAAACTGAGGTGATTGTTTCCTGTGACACAATACGGCATACACTGCAGAGGAATGGAATGCATGGGTGTCATGAGGGAAGCCTCTCCTAAAGCCCATGCACAAAAAAGCCCACCTAGAATTTGCCAGGGCCCATGCTGAAAAAGAAGACGACTACTGAGACTCTGTACTGATGAGACCAAGATAAAATGTTTTTGGAACTGATGGCTTAAAAATTGTATAGTGTCACAAAGGTGAGGAGTACAGAGAAAAATGCATGTTGTGAACCGTGGTGGCAGTGTCCTTCTGTGGCATTGCATGAGTGCAGCTGGTGTCGGGGAGCTGCATTTCATTGATGGTATCATGAATTCACAGATGTACTGCTCTAAATTGAAAGAAAAAATGCTACCATCACTCCGTACCCTTAGTCGTTGTACACTTTTCCACCATGACAATGATCCAAAACACACATCTAAGGCCACTGTTGCATTTCAGAAGAAGAACAAGGTGAAAGTGATTCAGTGGCCAAGTATGTCTCCTGATCTGAACCCAATCGAACACCTAATGGAATTCTGAAGAGACAAGTTGAGCATCACTCTTCATCCAGCATCCAGGCTCTAAAAGAGTTGATTCTTAAAGAATGGAAAAAGATAGATGTTGCAATATGTCACCAACTTGTGCATTCCATGCCTAGAAAACTTGGTGCTGTCTATACAAATCATGGCGGTCATACAAAATACTAGATGGAGTAGTTTTTGTTGTGGGGTGTATTCATTTTTGCATCAACTAATTTGAGTAAAACTGAAGATTTTGTAATCTAAGTCATATTATTAACCCTACTTTCATGTAATGAGCTAAACAAATGTTCTATAAAACTCAGTTTTGTCAATTGCTTTTGTGCTCATTGAGATATTGATTAAAATCTTACTTTTCAAAAGGGGTGTACTCATTTATGCTAAGCACTATAGCATATATATATATATATATATATATATATATATATATATATATATACATACATACATATACAAATATACACACACACACAGGCAGTACTGGCAGTATTAGGCGGGTGTGAAGAAATGATGTAAAGTAACAATGCTTTAAAAAGAATATATTTTTTTAGCAATTTACAAAAATGCAAAGTGAAAAATAGAAAGGAAATCTAAATCAAATCAATATTTTGGTGTGATTATTCTTCAGCTTCAAACTGGGATCAATTCTTACACTTGCACACAGTCAGGGATTTTATAGGATTAGAATCAGGTGTATGATTAATCAGTTATACCAGGCAGGTGTTAATGATCATCAATTTCATATATAGATTGAAGTACAGTCATTAACAAACAGTTGTGTAGGAGGTTTAAAACTGAGTGAGGAACAGCAGAACTCTGCTACTAAGGTGAGCTTGTAGAAGATCGTTTCAAATCACAAGTCATACAACATGGCAACACAAGGCACAGCAACAGGAAACAAGGTATATACTGCATCAGCAAGGTCTCTCCCAGGCAAAGATTTCAAAGCAGACTGGGGTTTCAAGATGTGCTGTTCAAGCTCTTTTGAAGAACCACAAATAAATGGGTAATGTTGAAGACCGTAGACACAGTGGTCAGCCAAGGAAACTTAATGCAACAGATGAAAGACACATCATACTTACTTCCATTTGACATCAGAAAGATGTGTAAAATGGGTTACCATTTCTGTGTCCACCACTAAGCACCTTGCTGAATCATGTTATAATAAAGATGTGTGTTGTGACTTTTGTAAAGCGGGTCAAACTTTAGGCTGAGTTCTTTCCCTTGAGAGGATGTGTCGTGGGGCTACGGCCGGCTTCGTTCGTGGCCGGTCGGTGCATGCTTATGCGCTGTCGCGTGTGTGGCGGCACTTTGGGCTATTTAAACTTGAATGAGCCACAGTGCCATTTGGTCTTTATCCTGTGTTCCTGTGTACCCTGCTATCTGTTTTACCTTGCTGATCCAACCTGTCAATTGACCTTGCTAGAACGCCGACTGCATCAACCTCTGTCTGCACACCGACTATTCTTCTACCTGCCGATTCTGTCTGACCTTGCCCACTTGTTGCTGTACTGGACCGCCTGACCTTCCCTACTTTGATCCTGTTTACTACCGGCCACCCTGCAAGTATCCTGCACATCTGCCTGAGCACCGGCTGCCTGACTACCCTGCACCTCTGCCAGTGTGCCTTCCTCCAGCTACTCCTGCGTTTCCTGAAGCACATCCGTCCATGGACTCCTATCTGGCACTTGTGCCCCCCTGTGCTCCGATGCTCCCTGTCACCTTACCAGGGCCCCTGAGCCAGAGCCGCAAGTGAGGCCCTCCTCTACACCTCAAGTTCTACCATCATGTATTTGACAGGATGGTGTGGGTCATTCACCTGGAAATGCACTGTTACACAGAGTTATGGATACCTTAGACTTTTTTTTGCACAAGATTGTTTTGATTTTACACCATTTAGACATTACAGTGCACCATTTATTTCATGTTTTGTTCATGGAACTAGTATATTTTGTTTTGTTCTGAAATAATCACACATCTATTGTGCAAATGTATATGTTTTGATATTTTTGTATACATTTTGTGTTTATTATAGTGTTTTAAGAGTTTATTAGGTGTCGTGAGCACAGCACGGATTCATACACAACAGTGAATTTGCCATATCGTGCTTGCAGCCTATCATCATTTTGGGCCATTGGGCAAAGTTATTTATACGCAATATATATATAGGGGGTTATTTACTATAACTGGAGAGTGCAGAATCAAGCGCAACTCTAATTGAACAAGCAGAAAATAGAAGATGATTGGCTACCATGCACAGCTGCACCAGATTTTGAGTCCAGTAGTTTTAGTAAATTTTCCGCATAGCCTTTATACAATTACAGCATACTTCCAAAGTTCCCCCTTGTTCTTTTGGTAAATTAGATGTAGTTGCTTCAGCAGGGATGTTGGTTGGTTTGGTATGTTTGTTCAAACACAGTATATAATCTAAGCTTCACCTTATGTGCTAATGTTAGCAGCCCAAACAGATCTGGCATTGTACATCACTATTTGGTATATTTACAACATGGATAAAAGTCTACTGGCTAAAATATTTTATAAGGGTACATGGCACATTCATGACATCTGAGGGGAAGTCATAAATGTTTGCTTTAATGCTTAGAAGTCTAAACCTACTTTGAGCCCAATAACATATTTTTTTCTAATGAGATCAGTAAAGGGGTTCAATGTAATATTATAATTTCCTATACCTTAGATGGAATGTGAAATACAGTTGACTTGTGTTCCAGTCCCCAGAGAAGTTCTGCAGGGAAGTCAATCACACAGCAGGTGGAGTAAGAATAAAGATACTTCTTGAGAAATAAGTGCATCTCTGCATATCGTGCTGTAATCCCAATACCAAAAACAGACGTGTACATTGTGTCACGAGCAAACACTTTCCCATCATTTTTCTCTGTAAAACCTGCAAAAAAAAAGTTTATCCTTACTTTGTAATTTCATAGAGTATGAATGCAGGGAAAGTACAATAAAAATGTTAGTTGGTTAGGAAACAATTAGAAGTTCAGAAATTTCACATTTTTTAGAAATCAGTGTGCTTGGTTATACCCAACACTAATCATCATGTGTACTGTCATGCCCACAGTCCATTATCTCCATATGTCTGACTTGTAAGAACATGATTCATTATTTTTAAAGCTTTGGTTAAAAATGTTGAAGAGTTCAGAAAAAAAAGTACGGTAACTAATATTTTTGTAGCAAAAGTGGTTCTTTGTACCCATATGTTTAATTGCCAGGTTCCTCCCTAGCATATCATGTATAATCCCAGCATACAAAACTCTGCTGTAAATCAGAATGGTGCAATGGAGGGGTGAGCAGAAAGTATGAATGATTAGTAGGTGTTGCAATGTATATTAGCTGTGCAATGGTTACTTGGTTGTATTTAGTGATTTTAATAGCTTAGTTTAGAATAATACTAATGTTTAATAAGATGGAGGATCTTTTTAAGTGTGTGGTTTTTTTTTTTTTTTATTTCAAGCCTTTCGTGGTAGCACTACTTGTATGACTGACTCAGTTCTGTTTTCATGAGTATGAATAGCGCTCGAGGAAAGATTTCAGGCATTCTCGGCAATATATATATTACACACAATATACACACACATTTTTTTTTTTTTTTGCAGGGGTGGGGGAGAGTAGAAGTATAATTTCAAAAAGCCCTAAGTCTAAAAGGGATGCTGGGGCTCATTCTTTTCTTAGTACAACACTGACATCATACATAGGGTTTATAGCACCTATAGCACGCTTTGCAGTCAGCTTTAGAACTGAAAAAGTACAAATCTGCAATACAATGTGCTAAACTCTTTGCATTGTGTGTAGTTCAGCTAGGGGTGATGGGCTTGTTCTTTTTCACATTAAGCTTTTTATACAGTGATCCAAAATGCCAAGAGTGTTTGAAATTGTAGGAAAGGAAACACATAGGAGTTTTTAACACACTATCTCTGCCATGTTTTGAACTGCAAGGCACTTGGCAGCTGAAAGTGGCCAAACATAAATGAAAGGTTGTTTTATTTTAGCATATATTCCTTTTTTAGATGATTGCTGCTGCAACTCTGCCTTCCTTGCAAGTGAAAGTTCCCCCTCCAAAAAAAAGAGAAAAAAAGTTTGGGTAAGTGCAATTTTTGCATCAATGGTCTTTAAGTGAATTTCACCCTGATCATTGCGAAATACCACAAGTGATTTGCTGACCCAGTACAAGGACCAATTAATACTGTTGCAGTGTCTGGGCCTCATCTGCAAAGAGTTTGTGGTTCTACAAAGGCCTGATGTTTTATTAACTATAAAAACATAGATTGTGTTAAACGGTAGGTACTTGTTTATGCATTATTGTTCTCATTTGCCTATTTTAAGGTGAATAAATGTTAACATACAGTTTACTTTTTTTTATTCCATTATATCACCATGAAAGCAGTAATAACAAGAAAAAAACAATTTACCTGTCAGGCTGAGAATATTCTTCAGCCTCATTAGGTGATTCTGATAGCGGACGATATGTACCCAGGACAGCTCTCCTATGGAAAGATTACGCTTTCCTGTTGCACAGTATCCTGCATTTTCTTCCTGTTTTTCGATGTAGTTTTGACAACCTATGAATTGACAACATGTGATTTACTGCAATAAATAGCATTAAAATAAGCCATCATTTAGTATGCACTAAATTACAAACAAATGCCCATGCCTCTCTTTTCAACTACAGGAGTAAATAAAGAAGCCTTTGTAAGGTCAAGGTAGCTGTACCACAGCAAAGTTGTGAACTTTTGAGGACAAAGTGGCCAGGGCTGGCAAACTTGCTTTTAAAGGTGAAGGCACTGGGGTTGTCATTCTGATTTTGACCTCATTATGTAGCAACACAGCCTGAATACGTGACATCTGACACGCTCACGCAGACCGGAAGTGCGATCGCGGCCATTTTGAAAGTGGGAACATGCTGGTTTTCCATACCAGGGACTACATCTGCACTGCTCTGAGGATTGGAAGCTGAATATCTTCTATTTTAACCAATTCAATACCGGGCAATTTTATACCTTCCTGCCCAGGCCAGTTTTCAGGTTTCAGCGCTCTCACACTTTGAATGACAATTGCGCGGTCATACAACATTGTACCCAAACTAAAATTTTATAATTTTCTTCGTACAACTAGAGCTTTCTTTTGGTGGTATTTAATCACCGCTGGGGTTTTTATTTTTTGCTAAATTAACAAAAAAAGGCTGAAAATTTTGAAAAAAAAAACACATTTTTCTTTGTTTCTGTTATAAACGTTTGCAAATAAATAATTGTTCTTCATAAATTTAGGCCGAGATGTATTCTGCTACATGTCTTTGGTGAAAATAACCCAAATTAGGATGTATTTTTTAGTTTGTAGGAAAGTTATAGAGTTCACAAACTATGGTATAGATCTGAATATTGATCAATCCTGAAGTACTGACAGCCAATCTAATTTCTTGAGGTCCAAGAATGTCAGAACAGTACAGATATCCCCAAATGACCCCTTTTTGCAAAGTAGACAGTCCGACTACTTCATAAGAGGCATGGCGAGTTTTTTGAAGTTGTATTTTTTTTGTCATAATTTTTTGGAAAATTAAAAAATTAAAAAAATTAGTTTTACTATTTTTTTTTACATATTGTCACCAATGCAGTACAGCGTCATCATATAACTAACATGGTGGTGATCAGGGACACTGGTGACAGCATGAAAAAAAAAAATTATTTTTTTTTTTACTTTTTTTATTTTTTTATTAATTTTTTTTTTTTTTTTTTCATATTACACTATGACCAAAGTAGTACAATGCTACCATAGTAACATTGTACTACTTTGGGGAAGTGATCAGTATTTTTTTTTTTTTTTACACAATTTGCTTATAGCAAAAAATTACTTTGCTATAAGCAAGCATTTACCTGAATGACATCGATTCATTCAGGGTTTCTTTTTTTTTTTTTGTGCTTAGCTGTAATTTGGCCACAGCTAATCACATGACATGTGCATGTGATTAGCTGTGACCATTCACAGCTAGACATTAGTATACAATGGATGGCATGAATGAAGCCATCCACTGTATACAACTGTCATGTGACCTGCTGTGATTGGTCACAGCAGGTAAACATGGTACCGGCAACGGGGTCCGATACTCAAATCTGTCATCGGCCGTGTCCGAGGTACACGTCCAGTGACAGATCGCGCTGCTGCGCAGCTCTGCAGGAGCGCAATCTGCGCATGTGCGGGAGGATGCCATATGGCATCCACCCGGAATGCTGATGACATTTGCCGGCCGCCATTCGGCCATAGAGCGGGAGGCAAATGGTTAATGTAAGAAATCTTATTAAAAGTTTATATGTTTACTACATACCGCTGAATATCTCCCCTTTACTCTAAGAGGATATGGAAGAGTGGAAACAAGAGGAGGAGTAGAAAGTTTGGGGAGTGCCACTATCTATTTGTATACAGCCTGTCATTTTTGCATAAGGGTAATTATCCATTTTTCACTAGTTGGAGGAGATCATTTGATATTTCACTGTGATATGTTTGAAGTGTTCACTATCAGCCTTCAGTACGTGGAGGTGATCACATATGCTTATCGGTTTTTTTTGGGTATTGCTATGTTCACTATATTAATAATTTCATCATATTAGAATATTGTTTTTCTTCTCTATATTTTCACGTGTGTGAAGTGTGCACGTTATGGAGTTCGCATGATACACCTGTTGTCACGGTTTTATTTTGTATGAAGTTAAAGGGTAATACACAATCTTAAGTTTTTGTTTTTGAGGTCCACGAGGATTTTGAAAAGTCTACACTGGATTATCTACAAGTCAATTTGGAAATATTTACACAGAGATATATGGAATATAATTTTTTTTTGGACAGATATAGTTTTGGGACTTTTATTTTTACTTTTATTTAATTGATAATTTAGAAAAGTTGATATATAATTTACAGCCTGAACCCCTGTCCTGCATGCCTGTGTAGTTAAGACAGTACAAGGTTGACAGCCAGAGCCTGCATCTTAAAAGGTGAACTCTGGGCAAACAGCTATACACTGTACATATAGGAAATACATATATAAGCTGTTTTACCTGCCAAAAGATTTGTATTTCTGTCTGCCTAGTCCTGAAATGTAGATGACTCTTCTGCACAGGGCAGGAGACCTGATTTTCTCTGTTGCAGTTAAACCCAGGACCCTGCATTCACTATATCTGGTCTCCCACAGTACACAGAACATAGAAATGCAATTATTTTAGTAAATATAAACTGCTAAATACCTTTTCTCATCAGCAGTACATAGCAGGCTTGTGACTTCTATCAGTGTCCAGCCTAGCACTGGTTAAAGCTTGTAGGAGTTTTCATTCTCCTCCATCTGTCCTATGAAGCTACATGATCCCTGACACTCTGTCTGGACAGTACTGATTGGCCCTGTGTCGATCATATGCACCCTCCCAAACAAAAATAACTCTCTAGCAATGCACACCAAACTGAGCATGTGCAGAGTGCCTCCTAGGGCTCTGTACTATCAGCAGATGGATTGGGGGCTGTGGAAGAAGGGAAGCAGCAGAGAAGAGACGATCAAACATCCTTTTTACACAATGTGGAGGATTAACCCCTTAGGTTCTGCAGTGAGTATAAGAAGCATGGAAACCCCTGGTCTAGAGTTAAGCTTTAAATACACATTAGCATTGGCAGCTCCCATATTTCTATTATCTCAGGTTTCCTTTAGACATTTTTTCTATTGTGTTTATAGGTAATGTAAATGAATCTTTACAGTTTTTATTTATCGTACAGAACTGAACAGAAAATATCTTTTCACATCTGGCAACAGCAGAAAGAGAAATACAGCAGGGTGAGTGTGGCTCTAGGTCTGTAAAATGGCCATTTTATGAAGCAAAACCAATAATTGCATGAGGAGTTATTTATGAAACTCCCCACAGCGCAACTGGTCTTTCAGGCTATGTGCACGAGAGGTTTTTCAGCTGTGTGCCACATACCTGTGTTTTTCTTGTTAAACGAAAGAACGTTGATGATATACGTGTGTGAAGAAGGTTCTGATTTTTTTCTGTTCACTGTTTTCAGGTGTGTTTTCAAGGGGTTAATTTGGACAGCGATGGTGCTTTCATTCACTCAGCCACTAAATATTTCAATAATATCTTTCTATTATTCAGCAAGCAATCAGTGTGGCACTGAAAGTGGTTTGTGAATGGAACTTTAATGTATTTCGTGCAAGCAATCATAGATTTACATGATACCTTTGGCTGAGTATATCACAATTGCCAGGTTTTTCAGACAGCTCATTGTTCATCTCACAACGCTCTATAATACAATAGTATACTGGAATTTCAGAGAGCCTTTTTTTTTTCAGCCAATTTTTATTGGAGCCCATCACCAGCACAATTGAGTGTGTGCACTCTAGAATTTTTCATCTGACTTTTTATCTATTTTTTTTTTTTTTTTTTCTTTTACAAAACAAAAAACACAAGAAGAATTTAAAGTACCTATAGTAAGGCAGAGTAGCTATAAGATGCTTAAAGTTGTTCTAAAAGCTGAAAGTGGTTATAAAGGCAGAAGGTTTTTTAAGTTCATGCATTCTATGCATGAAGGTAAAAAAAAACCTTCTGTGTGCAGCAGCCCCCCTTATATTCACCTGAGCCCCATCATGATCCAGCGATGTGCACAAGAGCCTTGGCTCTCTGGAAACTCTGACTCCTCTCTGGCTGAGACAGCTGCTGTCAATCACAACCAGTGAGCCAATGAAGAGAGAAAGGGGGCGGGGCCAGGCTGTAGCTCTGTGTGAATGGACATGCAGCGAAGCGGCTCAGGAGCATGCCTGCTCAGGTGCCCCCATATCAAGCTGCTTGCTGTGGGGGCACCTGGCAGGAGGGAGAGGCCATGAGCGCTGGCAGGGGACTAGAAAATAGGATGATCCGGGCTGCTCTGTGCAAAACCACTACACAGAGCAGGTATGTATACATGTTTGTTATTTTTTTGTTTACAAAAAAGACAAGCCTTTAATTTCACTTGAAGGGGTTTTATCTTCAGTGTGCAGCTTCCCCCACCAGCCCCCCACCCCCAATACTCACCGGGGCCTCTCCCGATCCAGTGACATGCACAAGAGCAGAAGCTCTACTGGGTCTTTGTCTCATCAATGGCTGAGACACAGCAGTGGGAGCAAATGGCACTCACAGCCAGTGAGGAAAGAGTGGAGAGAAAGATCGAGCTGCACTCTGTGTGTCTCCCAGACACACAGATGTGGCTCAGGAGCGAGCATGCATGAGTGAAACTTGTTCTAGGGGCACTCAGCAGGCGGCTGGACCTGGAGCACTGGAGGGGGACCTGAGCAGAGAAGGATCGGGCCTGCTCTGTGGAAAACCATTGCACAAAGCAGGTAAGTATGACATATCAGTTATTTAAAAAAAAAAAAACAAATCTTAACCTTTACAACCACTCTAAAGTGTATGCTTGGCCAAAAAAATATTCAGTATCTAAGTCTAAGTATCTAAGTAATGCAGTATGCGATATATAGACATTTCCCCCATGTTCTATTCTAATCCCTTTAACCACTTGCCCTCCGGAAGATTTACCCCCCTTCATGACCAGGCGCTATGCTACTTTAGCTGACAATTGCACAGTCATGCAACACTGTACACAATTGAAATACCAGTTGATCTGCCAAGAATCCTGTGAGCTTCTAACATCGTATTTGAGGTGACAGTGCCTCCGCTGCACTGAAAACTCAAAAAGTGTTCCCAGCCCTGCCAATTCTTTGTACTACAGAACAACTCCTCCGTTACACATCAACATAACATAAATTACTGATCAGTCTAACAAGAGCAGTCACCACAGGCCATCATTGTTCTGAATGTGTTAGGAAAAAATTCCACATATGTGATCTTTTTCAGTAAGGCACATTGAGGTCGATTTACTAAAACTAGAGAGTGCAATAGCTGATAGAGCTGTGCATAGAAACCAATCAGCTTCCAGGTTTTATTGTCAAAGCTTCATTGGAGATGTTGAAGTTAGATGCTACTTGACTACCATGAACAGCACCACCAGATTTTGCACTCTCCAGTTTTAGTAAATCAACCCCATTGCGTAAAGCCCAAAAAAAGCAATTAGAATTCTGAAGTGAATGCTGCACAGTGAAAATGGATTGGTTTCTAACTGTGCACTGCCTTATTACATAAACTTGATTTTAAAAGAAATCGCCATTATCTGTACATACCTGGCAAGTACTCCTTGTAATCTGCTAGTAGATCTATACAAGCAAATGATGGTATGTCCTGATGTAATTGGGAATCAATAGTCTGCACAGTAACATTGCTTTCTCCAATCAGCTGCTTATATGCTAACGCGGCTTCACCCACCTTTGAAAAGATTCAAGACATTGTATCAAATTAAGTACAGTAACTGTTGCTAAAACTAAACTAAGTTTGCTATAAAAATGTAAAAAGGTAATGACTTTAAAGAAGAGGTTCACAGCAAGACATTCAGATAGGCAGGTAATTTTCTGTTTGTTAATGTTTTTTCTGGGGAGGCAAAGAATTCCCTGTGCTTCCGAAGTTTCCTGTCTAGAGCAATTTACTAGCAGTTTATAAGAAAGGTAATATCTTTTTTCTGACAGAGACTGTAACTCCAGTCTCTAGTTAGCCATAGTTGTTTATAATTTGAACTTATTCCTCACTGTAGTCATTTTAAGTGAAGACACTTCTGCTGTCTTTTCATAGATCACAAGCTGTGTACAATCTCATCATGTTTCCTTTTCCTAATTGCTAAGTTCAATATAACCGTAAAAGTTGCAGATACTTTTAAAATACACAAAGCTATATGAGTAAAATCTAAAAAAGGTTTGTTGCACATGTAGCATTTGATAGGGAAAATCTCAAATTAATTATCTCAGTACTAGTAATAATAATTTTTATGTTGTGGCTAAAGTCTAGATATGATCTTTATTACATTGGCCCAGCTTAGACCAATGTAACTATGTATTTCTCATACCTGATGGATCGCTGTGGAAGGTGATGACCATTATATAAATCAGCACTACTACAGTGATAGCTGCAATCTTTTGGGTCCTTGCTGAGCATCTTCTATTCTGCATAGTGTCTACAAGGGGTCACTTGCTCAGCAATGCTGCCATTCTCAAAACACCTTGTATTTTTTTATTGAATACAAGGCAATGTCATAATCTCCAACATGTCCAATCAGAGAACACCTTGTATTCACTGAAAACAAGGCAATCTACGAATGGCGGGAGTGCAGATCGAGCATCCTTCTGTGGTCACCAAGCAAAAACAAAGCTATTCAGCACAGGACCCAGAATATTGTTGATTATTGTAGTTGCATCAACTATTACAGCAACTTTCACCCTTGGATCATGGTCCCTAAGGTATGAGGTATTCATACTTACATTGGTCCAAGATGAATCGAAGTAACTCTACAACAAAGTTCATACATAGACTTCAGCTTTAAGGAATGGACCGACTTCTTGATGTTGTGCAATAACAACCAGGTGGCTAGGATTTATCAATGACAATGTCTTGTCAACCCTCACTAACAACTAGCTTGCAGCTTTGTAGCAGCCATAATGAAGTATTAGACACTTCAGTGCATGATTTATTGTATGTACACCACTAAATGTACACCAGTATGTCTTAATATATTGTGATGTATGAAAATGATTACCAAATAAAGAAACTGGCAATGCAGCCATATTGTACGCACAGTACAAAAAACGGCAGCTTCCCCAGTCTATAACTGGCCTTCACAGCAAGGAGCACATGGAAGGGCGACGCATGTCAAACAACAAAAGAGACAGCTCAGCTTTCCAACCAGCCTACAAACAAACTGAATTTACCTGTCTAACAGTATGTGTTAAAACAGGGGTTTAGTTAGCACACATTTGCAAATACATTCATAAGCTATAGAGCCTCGTCACGGCACCCCGATATTTTGTAGTTCCTAACTCTACAAATTTTGAGAGCCCTCATAGTAGAGGAAAATGTATTTAATGGATAGACCAAGGGCAGGTGGACCTGAAGGAGCCCACCCCTCCTTAAAAGTACAGGAGCGCACTGGACACCCAGCATGTAGCACAATGGCAGCCAAGGTGTTCAGTGCGCCCCCTCACCAACAAGTCAACAGTACAAGAAATGACCACTGCCCCAGTCTATAACTGGCCTTCACAGCAAGGAGCACATGGAAGGGCGACACATGTCAAAAAACAAGAGAGAAAAATTCCCAGCTCAGCTTGCCAACCAGCCTGCAAACAAAAAAAATTAACCTGTCTAACAGTATGCATTAAAAACAAGGGTTTAGTTAGCACACATTTGCAAATACATGCGTAAGCAACAGAGCCTCGTCACGGCACCCCGATATTCTGTAATTCCTAACTCTACAAATTTTGAGAGACCTCATAGTAGAGGCACATGTATTTAATGGATAGACCAAGGGCAGGTGGACCTGAGGGAGCCCACCCCTCCTTAAAAATGCAGGAGCGCACTGAACACCCAGCATGTATTGTACGCACAATTTGAATAACACATGCATATTCTCTGTGTCTTGCCATATTAATTTATTTTACACCTAGGGGCACTATAAAAATAAATATGCCTGTCTTGGTTTGCCCCTGTATGCCAAGCAATTGCTGAATTTCCTTTGAATTTCCTTTGCACTTCTGGGTTAGTTATAAACTTCCCCAAAGGCGGGTGGATAATCCCAATACAAATAATGATTTTAAGGCCAACATCCTGTGCAGCTAATATACAGTATGTCATGGTGAATACACTGCAATGGATAAATAAAAGCAAGTGGAAATGGTGCTCTATAGGAATCAATAGGTGAATTATGATTATTGTCAATGATTTGCCCTATCTAAAAACTGGATATCAAAATCAGATTGGGACTGGTGGCTGTCATATTTTCCATTTTATACCAAGATCCGGATTTCTTATTGTGATTGGTACTACAGCTTGCAAATGTATAGCTAGTAGTAGTTAGTCACATTTAACTGGACTTATTCTGTAAGGGTCCTTACACACTGGCTTAAAAAAAACGCCAGTGCCCTTGGCAGAAAAAAATGCTTGTTTTGAGTGGTTTTTGTACTGGCGCTTAGGCGTTTTTAGGCACGTTTAGCATTTTTTCTGCCAGAAAACTGCTCCCAAAAACACAAACATAAGAGTTTTTTTCTGCCTCTAAATACTGAGCTTAAATATTCCTCTAAACATCCTAATGTGCATGGACGCATAAGATAACATTGAGTTAATTCTACAGGCAAAACAAAAAATGTTTTCAAGCCCAGTGTGTATGGACTCTGCTGAAGATGTTCTATAGCTTACCAAACCATTTCAGTGCTGGATTGGAATTGGGGAAGTGGCTTGGTAAACTGTGAAACATATTCAACATTACAGATCAAGTATAGTTAAATGTGACAAAATACTACAAGCTATGGCATGTCCTGGATAAATGAGAACCTTCACAGACCCAAGCCTAGTGCTCCCCACTGACACCACACAAGAGCTATGATGTATGTTGACATTTGAGGCCTTTGGTTCCATCTTTTTACAGTATTCTCCAGTGATATACTGTACTGTATGTGAGTGTCAACCTCTCCCCACATGCATGTACGCTTTGTTTGGTTGACCACATACCTTATTTCTCTTCTATATTTATAGCACACAACTCCTGAGGAGGCAAAAGTGCAAAAACATGTCAAATTAATAAGGCTATATTCTTCGGGCAGCCAGTAACAAGATATTGTGTACTCGATTTGTATTGGTATCTATGCACCACCATATTGTATTCTTCTGGCTCAGCATTTAGCCTCTTTATGGGTGTTATTTATATTGCTACTTTGATGTGATATATGGTGCTATATTTTTACTATATTTTATTATGTGTGTTTTTATGTGTCTACAAGAAAAAAGCTGTTTTTAACTATAATTTGTTTATAGTTAATTAATTGAGGGGCCACAGTATTAAAGTTCCAGTATCCATTGTTTCTTATTAACATGGTCATTATTTTGGGATGTGGTGTGATTATTGAGTTTCAGTAGAACCCTCAGTTTTGTATGCAATGAATGAATAAAAGCAAGTGAGATTGGTGCTCCATAGGAATCAATAGATGAATTATTAATAAAGTCAATGAATTGCCCTATCTAGAAACTGGATATCAAAATCAGATTGGGACTGGTGGCTGTCATGTTCTCCAAACTATACAGGAATCTGGACTTCTTATGCTGAATGGTACTAAATCTTGCAAAGATATAGCTAGTAGTAGTTAGTCACATTCAACTGGACGTATTCTGTAAAGCTAAAGATGTTCCCAAGCTAACCAAACCATTTCTTCAGTTCCGGAGCTGGACTGGAATTGAAGGAGTGGCTTGGTAAACTGTGAAACATCATTAGACACACACAGACATCCTTAAATTGTCTGCTGGAATTGGAATAACTGGTTAATTCAGATATCCCTTCATATAGGATGACATATGAGACTAGAGGTCCCCAAATATATCAACAAAATTATGGTCCAGATGGGTTTATTTGGATGCAATGGTGGCTGAGAACCCCTAAAGAAATACGCTGATGATATTTGTGTATCAGAGCAGTGGTGATGTGAATGGTTTGAGGACTGAGATTGGCAATAATTCACTTTGGTTTGTTTCTCTTTTTACTTTGTTTTAATTGATAGAACTGTTTTGTCCAGTTTTTGCATTGTTGCAACAAAATAAATACTGTATTAAAAAAAAGGCAACTAGTGCTATATGTAATGGAGACAGCTTCGGTGTCTGGTACCCAAATTAGACAAATGTTATTTTCCTTTACTTGTGTATTTTTTAAAAAAAATTTTCTACTAGGAGTATCTTCTCCAGCTGCGTTTTACACTACAGGTTGTGTGACGTTATCAAATGTGTATGGCTCTTGATATGTAATATGTTTTGCATGTATCCGGTTTTGTGATATGCATATTGTTCAATGTACCTTGCTTACGTATGGCAAAAAACAAAACAAACTGTGAAACATCTCAACGTTACAAAACAAGTACAGTTTAATGTGAGTAACTACTACAAGCTTTACAGTGACCTCGATAAATGAGAACCTCCAACAGACCCTAATCTAGCAAACATTCAGCAAAAAAGCCAAGTTTGCTTAATAAATCTGTTCACTAATCAGTAGATGGTTATTCTAGGTATGGATCACAAATGTCCTCTTTTGCCAAGTGATATTTGATCAACAACTGGAATTCAAACAACTAGTTGGTAAATGTGGTCATACCTCCAGGAATCCATTTATTAATGGACTAGAGAACTGTGAAAAAGACACTGGTAAAAACATGCATATTAGTGTAAATATTTCATGTACATTGTAT